TGTAGAGGGAGGCATCACATGGCCAGCTCCCAGGTCTCTGCCGGGACCAGAGCAGCATGGGCCAGAGCAGTGTGTGCTCTGCTCCCACCCCAGCCTGGCATCCCCCCTAGTGTGGCACCCAGCAAGTGCTCCCTCCCACCCCCCTTCACTACGACTTTGCCGTGCTCCTCACTCTCCTGCTCCTACCAGACACGGCAGGGGAAAATTTTCCCTGCCAGGCTTACATCCGAGGGAAACAGGAAATACCAGACATTTCACCATTTCACATGTCCGGTATTACCTGTTTTTTTTTAACCTGACTAAACCCACAAATACCGGACACCAGGCAACTCTACTCAGCACCCGCACTACAGCTAGACTCCTGTTTTCACTCACCTGAATGCACCCAGTAAGGGTCTGATTTTCACACCATCTGAAACTAATCAGCCTGATTCTCTTCTCACCCTGGCCTACATCCATTAACATCAGAGGCGTTGCTCCTGTTTTGCATTCAGGGAAGAGAGAAATAAGCCACAGGGGAGGCGGGTGGGAGTATTTAGCAGCTGGGAAAAGCAGGCTCTTAGCATCCCTGGAAGGTGGTTCTTGTGAATGGGACCAACAAGTCATAGATGCAGAAATTAACTAACACCACCAGCGATGCCTGTTGTGGATTCCAACCAGGGGCTACTCCTCTCATTAGAAGTCCATCTGCATGCACATGCTTGCAGGAATATCCACCAGCCAGCAGAAGGGGGGTGGGGGTGTGATAAACCCAGCCTTTCTGACACTTGAGCACATAGTTAATTTTATGAACATGGGCCATAAAGTAGGAGAGTCCTTAAACATGTGATTAAATTCATCCATATTAAACCAAACACTTGAGTTTGTGTTCAGCTTCAAACATGCTGAAATCCCACTGAAATCAATGGTACTTGACAGAACAGAAGCCCAGGTTTAAGTATTTACAGAGCAGAGATCAATGGCTGAATCAGACCTGGGTAGCACTGTGGCACTCCCTGGAATCCCTCGCCTGTATTCAGAGGGGGATTTCCCAATGCTGACTTTGACAGAGACTCAAAGGGCTGGTTTCACTGAGGACAGGGCTCATGCTATACATGCCCGGCCCGTTTTGCACACGAGTCAAAGTGCAAGAACTCTTCCAGAGAGCACAACTGACAGGCAAGGGTCCACTCCAAGACATGCTAGGGGTGCTTCTACACTGCACCCTTAGTTCAAAATAAGCTATGCAATATGAGCGACACAAATTGTGTAGCTTATTTTGAGTTCATTTTGACATACAGCACTGTTCCAAAACATCCCTTATTACTCATGGAATGAGGTTTACAAGGTTGTCAGAATAGCAAGCCCATTATATTTCAAAATAACAGGCTTGCTGTTAAGACACGGGATAGCTATTTTGGGATACCGAGAGTGTCTCAAAATAGCGCTGCAGTGTAGACGTACCGTATGGGGGCAGAATTGGGCCCCCAGTTCCTTAATTCACTGTAGCAGAGATCACAAGACCTTAGCATTGGAAGGACAGCAAACAACAAGCCTTCTATCAAAATACTTCTCAATCCTGCAAACACTTCCACAGGCTTAATTTTAGTATTTCCATGGACTTCAATGGAACCATCCCTGTGTTTAAAGTTAAGAGTTTACAGGATGTGTTGGAATTTCTTTTCCTCATCCAAATAAAAGCAAACTCCTATCTATCTATGTTAGTTAAGAACTTAATAGCATTCTTCACCCTATATCTCACCTCCAACCCAGAACAGTGAAGTCAAACTCCCACATCTTAGTCTGACTCCAATTTCTTATTTAAAATGTTACTAAAGCTAATGTAAAAAATTGACATACTAATGTCTCCTAATGGAAAGTGTTAAGGAACCTTCACTATAAATGCTACTACCAGTGTTGCTTATAATAGAGATAATCTACATCAGCTCAGAACCTGCAACAGGTGCAACCTTTATAGCTCTCCACTCATTTCAGTGGGGCTTTGCACAGATGTCAGTGTCAGCCCATGTGTGTCCAATCACAGCATCAGAAGCTACTTTTCATAGTAAATATTTTCCTACATTCCTGCAAACTGCCTGTGTATCTTTCCTATATGGCCCATTTCAACATAATACCTGAGCTCATAATAATTAATAACTCCTGACACCTCTGAAGTAGGAAAGAGCAATTATTTCAATTTTACAGATAGGACCTAAGGCAGAGAGGCTAAAGGCCTAGATCTGCAAAGGCACCTCATTCTTACTGATTGCAATGCTAGTTAAGGACATGCACAGCTTTGAGAATCTTGTTCACAAGCATCAAAGGGAATTGATCCTGCTTTCCAAGTTCTAGAGCAGCACCCTAACCACTGGACCATCTTGCAGGCTCAGTACCTTGGCTATGAAAATTAAATAAGCTGAATAGATGGTACTTGATCCTTCTTTAGTTTACTCAGTTATATTACTTTGATGTCACTTGCATTGAGATAGCAGCCAGGAATCCTAATTATGGCCCAGGATCCCACTGCATTAGACAACAAACAAAAATAGGGTCCCTGCCTCAAAAAGCTGGTAGTTTATATATATTATTAGCAGATTGTATGTAAAATGTGTAAAAAGGACACTCATGGTAAAATGACATTTTAAGACCTCCCCACCCCCCCGCTTACTCATGTTAACCCTTAACATTACTATAATTTTTCCCATTTAATTTACTTTCCATCTTGTATGCTCTTTATTTCATATTAGATTTCTATTATCCCCATCTGGGAAAATGAGACTAGGGGACCTTTGCTGTTCTTTAGGTTCCAATCCTGTAGTCAGTTCTCTGCCCAAAGACCCATACCTCCACACAAGAGCACACTGATACCAAAAGGTGGGAACAGTTAATCTATCCATTAACTCAAAGCATGTGTGATTCATTGCAAATAATGCTGGGGAATATGAGAGAGATTAATAAGACTGGGATTTTTCAGCTTGCAAAAGAGATGACAAAGGGGTGAGGATATGATAGAGGTCTTTAAAATCATGACTGGTGTATGGCAAGTAAATAAGGAAAATATTTACTTTTTTCCATACACAAGAACTAGGAGTCGACTGGTGTATGGCAAGTAAATAAGGAAAATATTATTTACTTTTTTCCATAACACAAGAACTAGGAGTAACTAAATCAAATTAATACGTAGCAGGATTAAAACAAACAAAAGTACAGGTTGTACCTCCCTTAATGTGGACTCCCTGGTCCAACACCATCCGTGGTCCAGCATGAACCACGGATGTTCTTGGACCACAGAGCCAAGGAAAAGGGAGGTCTTAACGGTGGGGCGTTCTGGCCCCAGTACTCCTCCCCAGCCCTGGCTGCGCAGCTCCAGCCCCCGCCCAGGAGCCAAGTGGCTTGCAGAGCCCTGCCCTGGCTGCGCGCTCTGGCCCCTGCTGCAGAACCAGACAGCTACAGAGCTCCGGCCATGGCACTCTGCCCTGGCAGGAGCAGGGCCAGCAGTATCTAGAGAGCCCAGGGGGCAGGCTGGAACCCTACCAGTACTCCTCCCCAGCCCTGGCTGCGCAGCTCCAGCCCCCGCCCAGGAGCCAAGTGGCTTGCAGAGCCCTGCCCTGGCTGCGCGCTCTGGCCCCTGCTGCAGAACCAGACAGCTACAGAGCTCCGGCCATGGCACTCTGCCCTGGCAGGAGCAGGGCCAGCAGTATCTAGAGAGCCCAGGGGGCAGGCTGGAACCCTAACCAGGTGGCAGCACAGGCCAGGAGGAGAGAGACCTTCCCTGGTCCGACAATCTCCTCTTTGGGACCAATCAGGTCCCGAGGGTGCCGGGCCAGTGAGGTCCAACTTGCATTTCTTCACACAATGCATGGTCAACATGTGGAACGCCAAGCCAGAGGACTTTAACACGGTTCAAAGAAGAGTGAGATAAAATCATGGAGGATAAGCCCATCAATGGCTATTAGCCAGGATGGGTAGGAATGGTGTCCCTAGCCTCCGTTTGTCAGAAGCTGAGAATGAACGAACAAGGAGGAGAGGGGAGGGACAATTACTTGATGATCACCTGTTCTCTTCATTCCCTCTGGGGCACCTGGCATTGGCCACAGTTGGAAGGCAGGATATTGGGCTACAGGGATCTTTGGTCTGACCCAATATGACTGGTCTTATGAATGCTGAAATCCAGACACAAATCATCTTTATTAAAAGGTCAAATATATCCTGGCAACTGGGCCCCATGGTTTTTTAACAACGTAAATGCGGCGCCCACCTTCTCTCACTGCAGTACCAGAAAGAACACAAGGAAGTACCTTAACATGGAAACAGAGAAGTGAGTCCTCTAGCAAATACCCAGTGAGGAGCCTGACTCCATGAAATTGTCTCCTTTGCCTGAAACGAGTGGGCTTGCGAAGACGCCATTTCGTTGTGAATGACCCTGATGACATGGAGAGATGTCAGGGGGGTGGCACTAGAGACCCAGAGGGGTCCCTTCAGGGCCTGAGAGATGGCAACAGGATTGACAGAAACACTTCCCCTTGGGGAGGGAGGACACTGCACCTCCCGAGGAGAAGATCCCTTATTCTCCGTGGGAAGGAAAGCGGGACAGATGTTACCTCAGGCCATCTTGGCCGGGATTCTCTGTCCAGTAACTTCCCTGTGGGCATAGTCCGCAGAGGCCCCAGCCTCCCATAGGGCTGAGCGCCCAGCGGTGCCCCACGCCTCTGAGCCCCTGCGGGGAGGAGAGGGGGGCGGCCTGGCCCAGCAGGTGCGGGCCCCTTATTCTCCGTGGGAAGGAAAGCGGGACAGATGTTACCTCAGGCCATCTTGGCCGGGATTCTCTGTCCAGTAACTTCCCTGTGGGCATAGTCCGCAGAGGCCCCAGCCTCCCATAGGGCTGAGCGCCCAGCGGTGCCCCACGCCTCTGAGCCCCTGCGGGGAGGAGAGGGGGGCGGCCTGGCCCAGCAGGTGCGGGCCGGCGCCCATCAGCGCGCCCTATAAAGGCGGAGCCGGCGGCCCGGACGCCTCCCGCCAGAATGGGGGAGCCGGAGCCCGTCCGCAAGACGCACATGAACATCGTGATCATCGGCCACGTGGACTCGGGTAAATCCACCACCACGGGGCAGCTCATCTACCAGTGCGGGGGGCTGGAGCCCCGGCTGCTGGAGAAGCTGGAGGCCGCGGCCAGCCAGGTAGGCTGCCCCCGTCCCTCGCCGGCCGGCCGGGCGG